TGTTTTTTTTTTTTTTTTTTTTTTTTTTTTTTCCTTTCGTTGTTTCTGTCTGCCTTTGGCAGTCAGCCGAGGCCATGATTCCTCATGAGGCATCCACGTGAAAGTCACCCGGTGCACTGCACCACGATGCAATATGCCGTGGAGACAGAATCGAAAAAGAAAGAACAGAATGGATTAAAAAGGAAATGGATTCCAGTGCGTCGGGACGGAACGCATCGGGTTATCGCGTGGTGGCCGGTACGACTCGTGGTTATCAATGTGGCATCTGTATATAGTGCACGAAAAAGCGGCCAGCATATTGTATAAGACACTTTGGCCGAGTGGTTAAGGCGATGCCCTGCTAAGGCATTACATTCGTGTGCGCAGGTTCGAATCCTGCAGGTGTCGATCTTTTTGAACGCGAACCTATTTCGCATGTGACGATTCTGCACCTGCAGCTTCTGTTGCCTTTTTTTTTGCTCCTCTTCTGATCAAAATCGTGGTAAATGGTTCTCATGGAACGTTGGACATTTGACGATGCAATCCCACAACGCCGCACGCCATGTATGTGCCATCCTCCACAGGTGCATGTGCCACCACCAGGCTGGCCTCTTCCGCGTCAGATGGCAGGCGGTCCAAGCCCCGCGGCCCGTGTCTCGCAGTGCTTGCGGGATCTGCCCAGCGGCACGGACAATTTACTCCTCTGCGGCAAACGACACGTTGTAGGGCCCGATGCCCAGCCTTTTGCCCAAGGGGATGGCTGCATCCAGGACAAAACCGCGGATGATTTCCCCGGATTTTCCCCGCCCGTGCTCTGGGCCCCTTTCGACTGCCTAAAGTCACGTCTCCGAAGCCTATCCAAACGAGAAGCCCCTTCAGCGACGCGTATGTCAAGGATCGGGGCGAAGAAGGTCACCGCCGACGAATCAACTCCGATTCGTGAACGAGAATGCGTGCGCTGTTTTGCAACAAAGATTGCTTTGTTGAAGAAGGCTATTGCCGAGAGAGCGATTTGTTCCTCTATTCGCGACGGGCAGGACGTTTCAGGTAGCAGCAAATGTGCTAGTCACCGCGACCGAGCCGTTGGCACGTCTCGCGACGCACCGACATGTAGACGCCAGAGTTTGTGCGGTGCCGGCGCGTCTACCGTATGGTCTTGACGACCCTGGGGAATTCGCCCAGTAATGGACCGAGATGCCCCATGGTCCTCACGATGGCGAACGTGGCATTTATCTGCGGGTTATCCGCCTCATGTTCTAGCACGGACTCCAGCTTGGATTCATGGTGCCAGACGCCAGGGGCGAACTGAGAAAACGCAGCGGACTATAATGAAGAAAAAAAAGCAAAACTTCTTATCTCGTGGAAAGACGGGAACGAAGCAAAAGAAATGATCGACACCTGCAGGATTCGAACCTGCGCACACGAATGTAATGCCTTAGCAGGGCATCGCCTTAACCACTCGGCCAAAGTGTCTAAGTTACCATTTTAGCCGTCTAACGCGCGCTATACCATGAATGTTTCTAGCAACCGTAGTTCACCGCCGAAAGCCCCCGCCCCCTTGACGCAGCTGTGGCGCGGATTCTTTGGCTAGAAACCGTCTTAGCTTGCTTGATTCCATGGCAAACGGCTGCTGGACAACCCAGCAGGCGTGAAAC